AAGAAGAAGAAGAAGAAGAAGAAGAAGAAGAAGAAGAAGAAGAAGAAGAAGAATGTGATAATAATCACACTTAATGCGCTTTCCAATCTATATTATCATGCCCAGCTCACCGTAGAACATTTATTAACATTCTCGGCTACCTGGGAAGCTTCCAGTAAAAGCTGCCGTTTACATGCCCTAAATCACAAACAAACTGGCAAGATCTTGCTCTGTCTACCGCCGGATACTCATTCCTCACTTGGTTGAAGTGAGAAAAACTCGTGTTACGTGCATTTTCCCAAGGTCACAACGATGGACCCGTGCTGGAATTGAACCCAGAACCTTTCGGTTACGAGACCTACTACCAGTTTAATCACTAGACCACCAATGGTTCAACCGAACGTCATAAAACAAAACTGCTCTATATTCGCGAGATTGGGTTGTCTGTACAATCGGCAAATGTCTTATTCTTTTATTTTTTTCGAAAATTCCATAAAAGCAAACAATCAAATACTAATAATAGAAAGCGTGTACAGCGTAAATTCCTGCACAAAAGGAAACTTTAACCGCTTTACAATCCACATTAATAACCCAGCAGACATGGCAGCATTCTGAAACAATCTCATCTTTCTGGGAAACATTATAATACAGAGCAAGTTGCCATTTCATAGACGCCAAAACACTAACAGAAAAATCAAACAACCTAAGAACCACACACACCGGCCCTCACAGTATTCCTATTCCTGCTTGCTCAACCAGTCTCTCATTGTGGAGTTGACCACTTCCGGAGCCTCCATCTGCACGAAGTGACCCGCCTCTGGTACCCGCTTGACCGCTATCTTTGGGTTCATGGCCTGAGCTATGTCTGGCACGGTGTGGCTGAGGGCGATGTCTTTGAGTCCCCAGATGAGCAACACAGGCATTGTGTAGTCCATGGTGTAGGAATACCTCCCCCTCTGGAGTGCGGCGCGGTACCAGTTGATGGTGGCGTTTGTCGTGCCCGGCTGCGAGAAGACGTGCTTGTAGGCCTCCACGTCAGACTTGCTCACTTCTGTGGGGAACGGCGGGCTGATCATGTCGGTGGGCGCGGGGACCGGATTGCCGAACACGCGGTCCAGGAAGGCGTAGTCGCAGGACCGGATGAAGAGTTCGGGGAGCCAAGGAAGCTGGAAGAGGAACATGTACCACGACATTTTACGCTGCTCTTTGGATTCTTGGAAAAGTTTTTGCATAACTGGGGAGGGCGGGCTGTTCATGACGATAAGTTTGTCCACCATGTCCGGGAACCGGCGCGCGAAGGCCCAAGCAACGGCCCCGCCCCAGTCGTGTGCCACGAGAACACAGCTCTTGTAGCCCAGTGACGCAATCACCTGACTCACGTCTGACGTCAGCTTGGATATCACGTAGGAATCGATACCGGACGGTTTATCGGAATCGCCGTAGCCTCGCTGGTCGATAGCCACTACGCGGTAATCTTTCTGGAACTCCCGAATCTGATGTCTCCAGGAGTACCAGAACTCAGGGAACCCGTGCAGGAACAACATGAGAGGTTTGTCTTCGGGCCCGCTACTCACACAGTGAATGCGGACTTCATCCAGGTGGAGAATACCATGACTGCCCAGCGCAGGATCACTCAGGACTTTTGGTTTGGGGTGTTCTTTCTTACCTAAAACAGCCTTTGGCCCGATGGTAAACATTAACTTAATGAGTCTGAAAGTGACGTGAAAGCCGTAATATGTGGCCATACAGAAAAGTCCAACACGTTGGAGAGCCGCCATGATGAGGTCTTTGGGTCTCTGCTATTCCTTCTGTCTTGAATCGCCTAAGTTCTCCCCTAACCCAGGCATACACTGTACTTCTGAAAGATGGAGAGAAAGGAAAAGTCAGGATGGGGAAATGTGTGTCATCAAGGTTAAAATATAGTGTAATCGAAGAAACTTATATTTTCCCTTTAAGTTGGGCAATTGTTACCGATACTTTTTAAAACTCTTAATATTTTAAAAACAAATTGGCTCAGCATCTTTATATCCATTTGGAAAGGTAACTATTCAGTGAGGGTTTTACTTGAAAAACATTGATAGAAGGCACACAAAAAATGTAGCTTTATGGTCTTCAAGGACACTCAAGCATTTGAAGTCACCAAACTTTGGTGGCCAAATTTCTGCTAATTTTGCCTCAGTCACCAATCGAGATCCATCTAATTAAATGGAATTTTATATCTTGACTTCCATTCAAAATAGATAGGCATTTTTCTCACTGCAAGTAATGCAAATAAACAGGATTAAGGATTATACCGATATCTCCATATTACAAAGCCCTGACGACCACATCATTGCACAACGTCTTGGCACTTATATTATTTACTTTTCAAAACAGTGCAAAATAATAGTAGATCTATTATATAAATTAAGTTCAAAATTGTATCGTGATGTTTAAAAACGCATAAGACTTTAAAGCTTGTGTTTTACAAAATCAAAAAATGGAAGAGACACCCTCCCCCCTCCCCCCCCCAATCAAAATCACCACAACAACCCCCCCCAAAAAAGTAAAATGAAACCAAACCAATGAAAAAAAATCAACAAACAAAACGAACCAATAAAAAACCTGCTCGTGTGTTGATGTTCTTGCCGTAGCCTAGTCAGCACCATTGAGACCGTTATTTGCAAACTCGTTGGGACATCCAACTGAACCCCTTCCCCCTTTCTCCCTTTCCACCTTTCCCCCTTTCCACACACAAAAAATATCTCATCCCCTCCGCCTTCCCCTGCTCTTCTGTGTCTCGCCCGTGTCTCGACCGCTATGCTTCTCGCTCACTCAACGCCGGCCGG